TGTCTTGCTCTATCCACTGTTTTATCACTATCTCCCTTTTTTTACCTCCCAAAAGAAGCATATTTCTTATCAACAATAAATATACCAGTTCAGTAGAGGAAGCAGTTTTTCCAGTAAGTAAATATTTATTTGTGTTTCTAGAGACGTATATGCACGATAACAAATCCAATTTGATCTTAAGATAGGCAGATTTCACCAATTTGGAGCAGTAGATTAACATCCACTCTTGTAGGACCAGTTGCAATTCAAACCATCCTTGTTAAAACCCACTTGGGGAGAACAAAACAAGACCAGAGAAGAAAAAAGGAAGAAACTTGATCTGATACTGCCAGAATATTGGATTTTCAGAATATTAGGTGTACTACAGTCTCTCCTCTCTAAATGATGAGATTCATTTTCAAACATATTAGAGGCAGAAATGTACAGCCTCCTTCAATATTCCTCCTGTTCCTATTAAAGAAAATACACCAAGGTAAAGAACATGCAGGCCAAAGCCTTGTCTTCTGGGAAGATAACAGTCAACAATTTCAAATCAAGGGGAGTTGTTAATATTCAGTTTTTCCTGGAAAAATCATGTTCTACTTGAGTCAATTCTAATTATCACCCTACAGCATTTACAGTTCTTCAAGTCTCTCATTTGAGCATCAGTGCATGGAAGGGTAACTATTTTTCTTGAAGGCAGAGGACTTTGAGAAAAATCATCACATTGCAACAGGTCCTCATTTCTCTTACAAACATGGCCTTGCAGTTTACATGCATTTTCTAATAAAAAATTACTGTATAAACACACTAGTCACCCCAAAAGAACATTGAGTAGCACTGAAGAGAGAGTCTGAAAAGTCTCAAAAACCAATACATGAAGTCTCTGTATCAGAGATGGCAGAACTAAATAAGACCATACTAAGAAACCATACCATTAGTGATATGAAAAAAAGAGTTTCCACAATCAGCATGGTATTTAAAAACCCACAAACCTCCCATGCGTAAAGCAGCAGTGGAACAAGAACTGCAAACCAGACCTTGAGCCAGCTTATCTGTGATCATCATGTAGTGCAGGTCACAAAAAGGGGAAACAGCATATTGATCATCTAGTGTTAGGAGATCCAATTACAAATTACAAAATAAGCACATTCAGTCTCTCAAGCAATACTATATCTCAAAGTATTGACGCTAAATTGGCCCAGTTGGTTATAGCAGGATCAATCTTCATACAGGTCATTCACAAAAGTTGGACTCAATGACCGCGGTAGGTCCCTTCCAACTCACAAAATACTCTGATTTCTGTGATTTCCAAGTATACACAGACAGGTCTGGCTCCTCGGTAGTTGGTTTTCTATTCAGTGATCTGCTTTTGTTTCACTCAAGCAGTCTGAAACCACTTTGAAAAAAAAAAAGAACTCCCCAGAAAGTCCTGTGGTAGGAACCTAAGAAAAGCCCATGGTGGTGTGATATGGTATGACCGGTCAACACATTAAAGCTATTGCTGCTACAGCAACGCTTGTTTACATATGGTGCAGAAGGACCTCATAGGAAATTAGATACGACATCATGGAAATCTGCAGTGAGCACTCTTATAGTTTAAGACTATAAACCACACTACCAAAGTAGCATTTTTTCAAAAAAATATCCAGATCACATAGATCTAATTTTCATTATGCAAAACACTTAATGCTATCTGCTTTATTTTCCCCTTTATGTATCATCTTGCATAAATATTTGGAGATTCTGTTCCCCAAAAATTTCTGCTGGAAGTACATAAAACAAATAACTTAATTTCTTCTACAAAGAAAGATGAAACTATTTTACCCTGGGATTAGATATAACATCCTAGGTTACTTTCAGAAAGGAGAATGGATGGTAATGTAAGGAAGGTTGAAAAGTGAAAATAAGATATCTTGGAATTAAATATGACTTGCGACAGACCTATTTATTTCATGAACATAACAACATGTATTTTCTTCCATAAAAATTACTGGGCTGATATTTCAGGGATTTACAAGACCTGGATGATTCCTGCTGTTGCCCTCTGCCATCTGAGTGCTAGAAACACAACAGAGGAGGGGAGAACACAAGAAAAATAGTTTATATTGGAAGACTTCTCTACCAAAAGAAAAAAACAAACAAACAAACATATCAAATACTTCCCAAAGCAATTGATTTAGTAATTTGTAACTCACTTATGAATGAGTCTGGCTTTGCTGCCTTTGTATTGCACCACAGACACACGGCATACCAAAACATACACATGGTGCAGATGTTTCCTGACTTCAGTTTCAGAAAACCCATGTGAACTTCAGATCTTAATACAGAAATCCAGTTTCTCTAGCTCAAAGTCCTACCAGATATATCAGGGAAAAAACGTTGTTGGGAGTGAGAATACAGCAAGTGTCATGTGAATAAGGTTACACATTTCAGTCCCACTACCCTAACGCAACATAGCAATGTGTAGCAAGTCTAGGAATAAAATATAGTATGAGAGACTCTGAGCTTCACTGTTATAATTCAACAGAAAGCAGGGGGAGGGGGAAGCTTTACAAAGGTCATCATTAGCTCCTGATTAAGAGCTGACTTTCTTTTCACATACAGCCATGTCCTCTAGAAAAGTATAAGATTATATTCTCACTTAGTCTGACCTAGAGTTAATGAGTTAATCTCCTAATAATAAATGTGGACTTGGACCCCCTCTTTTTTTTCCTTTTTTTTTTTTTTTTAAAGATAGGTTTTTTCTAGGCAGATAATTCTATGATGAAATAAACCCAAATTTTATTATAAGGAACCCCATTCTAGATTATTTCTGGAGATATTTACACCCGAGACACATAAAATTTTAATATGTTTTTAATAGCTTATCCACATCAAACCTCAAATGGAACTCCCAAAAGCCAACCACCACGATAGAGTAATACATCCAGATTTTTTTGAAGATGACAGCAAACTAGCTATCATCTAAAATAGCTGAGATAGCAAGGAGAAAGAAATGGGAAAACTAATATCAAGACCTTTTTATAGGTGTTTTTATATTTAAGTATCTTGTATATTGCTCAGAATAAGCAGAGGACTACGAGGCTTAAATCTACTATTGGGTTTTCCAGGCATTTTCAGTACTGCAGGGAAAGTTTCTAAGTTGAGGTGGGGCTGGTTTCTATCCGTGTGTATTTGCTTACAGTTAGCCTGAGATTCTCCTTGAGGGAGCAAGGAAGGAATGAAGAACAGAAAGAACAAGGTAAATGGTTTTGCTGCCAACCTATGTAGCTCGACAAGTCCTATCTTTTAATACAACCCTTCAACACAACCCTTAAGAGAACGTATTTTATGGTTTCACATTTTCTTCAACAGGAAAACATACACAGCCACACAATCAGCAAGACTGTTTTGTATTTACTGGGATAAATCTCTCCACAGGGTCCAAGTCTCCCTAGTTAGGAGCTGAGGTGCTTATCCCTCTGGATACTCCACATGCCTTTAAGATTTCGTAAAATGGACAATCTTTCCTGAAGACCTCCTCTAAATCACAGCAACCAGTATTCTTTGTAAGCTCTGCCACCAAGACTGATATTTATTATATCCTACAGTGATTGCGCACTGTATTTGACAAAGCAAAAGCCTAGCAGCACAGACTGACACATTGCTTATGATTCCAATATTGTTTTTGATTCTGTTCAGAGCTTTTTTCACTATTCTAATTGAAACCACAGATTCAGCAGCCTTACTTTACTGCTGTAGCTCGTTTTCTTCTTAGAGCTTGTGAAAACCAAACGTGAATACAGCTAGTGAAAAAGGTCTGTCCTTATGATACTTCCGTTTCGATGAGAACATGCTGCCCGTAAATGGTTAAATGGAGAGCACGTAACAGCCAGGCAGAGGCCAGGAATGACAAACCACCAACTCCAACACTTCTGCAAACCCTCCGCTGTTGCAAAGGCAGGCACATAGAGGCAAAGCCATTTCTTAAAGCAATACAAAATTTTACCACAGGCTGACGCTCTTTCTACAAGAATAATGAGACCGTCTCCACGCCGAATGCAGAACTCACTTCACAGCTTCTCCCTCAGACTTCACTTTCACGCTCAATATTTACAAAACAAAGCCTACAAACACCTCCTGGCCAAAATATTCCCAGAACAATTAGGGTATTTAGCGCTTTCTGCGCCTTCCTAGCTCCCTAACGCCTCGAGAGGGCTTTTTACGGAGCGGGGAGGGGAAGAGAAGTTGCCGGCGCGAACCCGACCCGCGGGAGCAGCCTCAGCCCCGCAGCGCTGTCCCAGCCTGCCGCCTGCGGAGGGTCAGCCCGGCTGCGGGGCTGCTCCCGCCGCACCCGCTGCCCGCGGGCTCCGCGCCCCCCGCACTCCCCGGGCGCCCACCGGCAGCGCGAAGGCGGCGGGAGCCGCCGGTCCCCGGGCACGGCCACGGGAGGCACCGAAGGCGAGGAGGGCATAAGAGCCTGAACCGCCGAAGTTGGAGGCTGCTCACCGTGCCTGGAAGTGAAACGGGCGCGGCGCCGAGGCTCGGCTTCCCCTCCCGCGGGGGCAGCGCCCGCCGCCCCTGCTCGCCTGCTGCCCGGTGACAACGCCCCGGAGGGACCCCACCGCCGCTTCCCACGGGGAAAGAGGTGAGACAGCCACCTCCCGCCGCCTCTCCGTGCCCCTTCACCACTGGGGCAGCTCCTGCCTTTCCCGCGGGAGAGACGGCACCGACCGGCCGCCCTCGGCCGTCTAACCCGAGGGCAGGAGGGGACCGCTCCCCTCCGAGGCAGAGCGGGATGCGACGGGCAGCGACGGGCACCGGCGGGCAGGAGCGACCCCCGGCGCACGGTCGCGTAGGGACCCCGCGGTAGGTGTCGGGGCGCTGCGGGGAAGGACGGGCGGCCCCGCCGGCGGCAGCGAGCGGCGGCGGGCGGGCATCGCCACCTGCCCCCGGCCTCCCTTCCGACAAGTTACGAGCGACCGGGACGGCGCGGCCGCTCCTTCCCGGTTCCCGCAGGCGGGCGGTCCGGCGCTCACCTGGCGGCAGGCAGAGAGCAGCGAGCAGGAGGCAGAGCAGGGGCGGCGGCAGCGGGCGGCGGCGGCAGGAGGCGCAGGCGGCGGTGGCGGGGGGCTCCATCATCCCGCCTGCCCGCGGCGGGACCGGGAGGCAGCGGCGGAGCGGGGCGGCGCGCCCGCGGGGGCTCTTCCCTCTCGCAGCGGAGCGGGGCGGCGACTTCTCCCTCTGCGAGGCCGGGAAGCGGCAGCGGCGGCTTTCCCCCGGCGGCGGGAGGAGCGGTAACTTCCCGGGCGCGGGCGGCGGGGCGGCTGCTCTCCCTCTCGGCGCGCAGCGAGGAGCGACTCCGCACCGGAGCAGGTGGCGGCTTCCTTCTGGCAGCCGAGCGGCGCTCCAGGACTGAGCGCTGCGGCGGGAGAGGCGGAGCCGAGCGGCGGTGGCGCTGGCCCGGCCCCCCCTTTCCCCGCCTCCCCGCCGTCCCGGCACACAGGCGGCGTGGGGGAGCCCCCCGGGTAGTTCCAGATCGCGGCTGCAAGTGGCAGTGCCTGCGGGGATGTGCTGCCCTGCCCCACGGCGGGATGCGCCGCTGTCACCTTGGGCGAAGAACGGCGTCGTGAAAGCGGGGCGGCCTCGGCGGCGGGGTTGGGGAGCTGTGCGGGGCAAGCCGACACCCCCTTCACCTACCCTTCCATTGCCTTGCGTGGTCTCTTTTCTAGTGCTGTGCTCAGGGTGCGTGTTGGATGCCAGTACTTCAAATTGAAAGCTAAAAAAAATGTAATACTAATGACAGTGCCTGCTCGGCTGTGTCTGTTAGAAACGTGATGGGTTCTCCTCATAGCCAAAATGAAAAAAAAAAAAAAAAAAAAAAAAGGAAGCAAAGATAACAATCGGTTTAATCTGATTTAATTAATATAACAAAGGGTTGAGTAAAGGGAAGGGAGCTCACAACGCTTAGTTGCATGAAAAATGTGCTGCAGGTTGAAGAAGGGATCCTTCGTCACTTGGAAGTCGGCTGCCCTTAAAGGTCAAAAAGATTGCTCGTCAAAGTAATGTAATCCAGAAGCAGCACTTTCATGCACTCTGTTCTCCTCCTGTTTTGGTCTGAGTAAACACTTGTTTCACAGAGGGGGAAATAAGCACCCTGAAGTCACACAGCAAGTTTCTCAGCTGGCAGTACAGCGTGATCAACATGTAGCCCACGCTGTCATGTGAAGTAAGACTGATGTCCAAAGTCTGAAAATATGAATAATGCACATCGTGTGGTCTCTCCAGAGGGACTTTCTAGTAGTGAAATCCAAAGTGTCAAGTGCTTTATCTCACTTCACCATGTGATAATTTGAATTCTTGGACGGGAACTTCCCCAAAAGTCCTGGAAATCAAAAACAAACTTAACCAATCTGTCGTGCAAATATATTTACTATTCTCAAAATAAATTTCATGATGGCTAGCAACTAAGAATACTTAACTTGTGATGCAGAGTAGGTTTAGAATAATACACCATGTTGTATTTGAGTATCATGCTTGTTTTCTGTAAAGTGGAGTAAGGATATTTCGCTTTTAGACCTTTAAGTCTAAAGTGTTGTTTTCACTTCAAAAAGTCCTTCTGTTCTTCTACATTATTATTATCTTTCTTATTGTGTAAGGCATGCTATGCAATCGGTTTTCAAAATATTTTACTTTCTAGGCTTACTGCTCAGCAGAGCTCTGTCATCCCTTGTTTTCTCAGATTTCTCTCAATGGGCACGTTACTAAGCAGATTCCAAAAAAATGTTACTTTTAAGATCAATAATCTTTTTCTTTTCCTGTTGAAGCCAATTAGTATTTCCCATTCAGTGTGGTTTTTTTTTCTTGTGTGTTTTAAAGCAGTAGGGTACTCATTAGTAGGGATATTTAATATTTTTATTGCTGTCAAACCTAGAGACCCCCTCAAAATCTTGAGAGAGGCTTTCAGTAGAGTTGCGCTGAGATGCCATTTAACACAGTTCAAAGTTGTATTCCTACTATGTTTTTTAATTTCTAGTGCTTTTAATAGTATGTGCTGGTTTTGCAATAACTTGGGCTCCATTACAAGTTAATGGCCTAATCCTGCCTTTTTCAGTGACGTGGACAAGGCTTGTTGAAGCTAGTAGAATTGTAGCTGGGGAAAAAAAAAGACAGGAAAGGCCAACTCTAAAAGTTACCTGAGTGCAAATAAATATAGAAGAGGAAAAGGCTTATGGGCCAGAATTTATACTAAATATAAATATATAGTATAAATATAAATTTATACAAAATATACTAATTTTGCATTTAGTATATGGTTGGGTTTTTTAACATGGCAATGGCAAGATCAATTTGTATAAATACAAACACATGTGTTGCTGGTTCAGGGAATTAAATAATGCCTGAGCACCTTGTTTTTAAAGCAGATGATTAACTGCTGCCTCATTTGCATCAACATAATGAATAGTATATGTTTGCTCTCAGTGGGAGTGGGGATAAGGAAGTCTTTGTGAATATAGCAAATTATTTCCAATGGCGTGGTGCACAGATTAAAAGGCAAGCTACAGAACTATACACATCAATTAGGCAAAATATACAGAATAATGTTACTGTTTATGCTTAAGATAGTGTTCAGAAAAGTTATTTGAGTACTCTTTTGCTCTGAATGTGTTAAGTCTGTAAGAAATATGAGAGATGTGAGAGATTATATTAAGGACATAATACTTAAATCAGAAGTATGATTTGTTTAGGGCTTCCCTCACTTCTTTGTAATTTATCTTCAAAGCTGTTTCTACCTTTTACTTGAAAGAAGCTCTTTGAATTCTGAGTAAATAGAAAACATCTCAAACTCAGATTACTCAGGTGTTTTGATAACTATGGGATTTTAAATGTGATTAGAAATAGTCAAGATAATTATTGAAGATATCTTTATATGCTATGTCATTTCAACTATCCTCTGTTCTGAGCTTTGTAATTAATTCCTTTAATGTCTATTGGGTTGATAGAATATAGATTTGGTTTTTTACAAATTATTTTCTTGGGCCATGCTTCTCTTCTCATTGAAGTTAATGGGAGTATGAGTGAGGCACTGATCTGTTGGGAAAGCAGCAACAGCCTGGCTTTAAAGTCCAAAGTAAACTTTAATTTTGAAGAAGTTAAAACACTAGTACAAAAAAAATTCGGTAGAAAATAACTATTTGAAAAGCACTAATAATAATAACAATAAAATCTTTGATAAATACTTAATCCTATCAAACCATAGATTTTCTATTTATGTGACAAAGTGGATTAAAAATGTAATCCATTAATAATGGTTGTGAATAATAACAAAGGGTTTTTGTTAAACTGAAACATCATTTCCCATTTACAACAGGTGCATAAAATACTCAGTTTGGAAGCAAATTTCTAGCAAGAATAGTAGAGAATATTGTTGAATAGAACACTGCTCAATGCTCCTGGTAATTTAATCCATTGTTAATAATGAGTGGATGCTAGTTAATATTGTGTCAATGAATCTATGCATGCTGTTTTGGCTCAGCACCCAAAGTACAGTCTGCAAAATGGAAGCCTTCTTTTTATTGAAGCTGCCCATGAGTCATTAGACAAATGTTAAATGCAGCATCCAGCCTCGCATTTCTGGAAATCTGATTCTGTTAGTTTAGCTGTGCACTGCTAAGTTAAAGATGTTAATTCAGAAGACACTTCCATGGGTTTATGTCCTTGTCATTTTCTATTAATACAGATTGCAACATTATCTAACACCAAGGGTTAAGCGTGTGTGTAATCCACACTGCCAATTACAGAACAGCTACAGGAATGATTAATGAATCATCTGGGACTGGAGTTGTTTTATGACAACTGGGAAATCCACAAGGTGCTTTCTGCCCCCTTAGGCGCCTGAATACCTTTAAACACCAGGCTCTGCAAATCTGAGCCAAAGCACGTTGAAGTCAAGAATTGAGTCTTTCACTGATTTTGCTTGATTAAGTTAGAAGCTGTGGTAGAAGAATACTTGTGTCTGTCAGGAATCATTTTGCATTGCTCAGTATTGGCCCATGAGGATAACTGGTAGCAAAGTCTTTGTGAATTAAATCAACTGTTTATGGTGGAGCGTCTCTAGATTGTAAAGTATTTCAATGCAGGACACATAGAAAATGGTCAAAAACCAGAGTTGGGCTAAAAATGAACTGTGACCGATATTAGTAAAGCAGAAAGCCTATTCAGTAGGGTTTGTGCAGCTATCTTCAAATTTGTCTATCTCTTATCTAAATAAATGAGACCCATATGTTTGTAATACATAACCTCCCCCAATGACTTACACTAAGAAGAGTAGGTGGAATCTGCATTTTCAGTATTTCTTCACTGCAAAAATGATCCTACTCAAAAACATAAGCAAATACCTGCCACTGTTGTTATCATCGTCATCAGCATAGCAATTAGGCTCCTGAAACAAACTTATTTTCCTATTACCCATGTCCAGTACACCTGTTTTTTTACATAATTTAACTAAAGAACCAGTACTGTGCAAACATTCATTAAAATAACATTTGTATTATATACAGAATACCCAAAATGCTTTCAGCTGAGATGAAATGTGAGGGGAACATGGGAAAAAGGAGTTGGAGGAATAGCTGGTGGTTGTTTCTTTTTGAAGTTTGTGCTCTGCCTTAAAAACAAACCCAAACAAAAAACAAACATGAAGAAAACAAAAACTTTAAATTATGATCAGATCTTATCACAAAATATACAAGAGCCACAGTAGCTTGACACGTTAATTGCGAAGTGCATAAAGAGAAAAAGCAATCTAGTTCTTTAGGCACTCAAACAGTATATATCAACTTTGCTGGCCACCTGTTTGCCTTTTTTGAAGGCTCAGGTGCCTTTTTCCTCTGCCTTTTTCGTAGCAGGTTTGAGGGAGGCAAGAGTAAGCAGTTTTCAGGTTACAGGTCTCTTTTTTTCATTACAAATGTCTCTTTTGAGGGCAAAGAATTATTTTTCTTTGAAAATCCAGTGGGATACACAATGCAAGAGAGTGAAGAGTAGCACTGATAATATATTTGACATGCAAAATAGCTGTAATAAAAAGAATGAGATTATTAGTATTGCTAAAATAACTATACTGTTTCCCCTTTTCTCAGCATCCATGAAAGGAAATTCTTTGAAATGATTTCTGTGCTTTCTATTCCTTGACAGTCTCTGAGTGTAACAGGAAAATATCTTAATACTATAGGAACTGATGGGCCCCCTGTACTAAGGAGCATCCTTGACAGGATGTTGCATTCTGCCAAAAATACCCTGCAAGCACTTCTGCAACATCTGGTGTGCAATGCTGGTATGCTGTGAAAGAATAAGAGGGAGCATAGTGTGGTGTGATTTATTAGGATGTCACTGAGTTTTCT